GAAATGCAAATCAAAACAACACTGAGATGAGTTAGAATGGTCATTATCAAGAAAACAGACACAATAAATCCTGGCAAGGAAAAGGCCAAAGGGGAATGCTATTACATTGTTCAACTGCTATAGAAAACAGTATGGAGGTTCCTCAAAAAAGAATAAACATGGGGGGAGGAGAAGGGTTGGGATTGGGGGGAGGGGGGAGGCTGGGAAGGGATGTGAAGGGTAAACCAAAGGAGGAGGCTGCAATGCTTGGTAAGAAATGTACGCATTATCCTGCCCATGTAATTGTAACCCCTCTGTACAGTATGTTCACAAATAAAAAATTAATTAATTAATTTTAAAAAATTTAGAAAATAAAGTGTACTCTTTAGTTGACTTAAATAACTGTAAGCCCTCTGTATATCAATTTTATAATAAAAAATGCATGAAGAAAAAAAAAGAATAAACATAGAACTACTCAGTGACCCAGCAATTCCACTTCTGGGCATTTGTCCAATAGAACACAAACGAGGTTACAGTAAGTAAAGCCACCAACACAACCATGTTCATTGCAGCATATGGAATCAGCCCAGTTGCCCCTCAATGGATGAATGAATACATATACACAATGAGATTTAACTCATCCATTAGAATGATACTGGCAAAGATCTTAATGGTATCATTTGAGGTCAGATACATCACACAATATGACCATGACTAGAGCTTAAAACTCTGAGCCTTACTTTTCTTATCTCTAATACTTATACACTTGATGAAGATACATATAACAAATTAAATGAGATGATGTGAGACCCTGGGTACATTACTTGCTACTTAGTAAGTGTTAGTAGATTGTTAAAAAGTGGTTTTTATTATTTGTAACCATGAATCATTTTTTCTCATAGGTTTGTCCCAAATCTAGGCCCACATGAGACTGAAGAAAACAAAATGGCTTCTCTTCTGATACTTCCTGGGGAAGAGGAGTTAATCACTTCATACTTTCCGTCATTTTCCTTGACTCTCCAGAGCACTTGTTTTAGGAAGGAATCCTCCAGATTTCAAAATATACTAATCTCCATAACCAAGAATGTTCATCTTATCAGCCTACCTGAGTACATGCTTTATCCCAAGGACCCTGGATACAAGCATGTCACAGTTTAGTGGCACCAAGTATGAGCTATATCAAGATCATTAAATACCCTGTTATTCTGTAGTTAATGGACATTCAATCATATTTTCCTAAGGAATTAGCCTATGTTAGCCATATTAACATAGGGAATTAGCTACTGTGTTCTCCACGATGACAATATTAGCTACCAGAATGAGAGCTACATAGAATAGTTGAGCTTCCAACCTCCCTAGCCATAAAAGAAATGCAAATCAAAACAACATTGAGATACCACCTCACCCCAGTTAGAATGGCCATAATCAAGAACTCTAATAACAGATGCTGGAGGGGATGTGAACAGAAGGGGACCCTACTGCATTGTTGGTGGGAGTGTAAACTTGTTTAACCAACTTGGAAAGTAGTATGGAGGTTCCACAAAATATTCCACATAGAGCTCCCCTATGACCTGCAATACCACTTACACAAATGATCACAAACAAGACCAAACTAAATCTACCAGCACAACTATTTTATTGCAGCATTGTTTACCATAGCTAAGATATGGAACCAACCCAGTAGATGAATGGATCAAAAAAATGTGGTATATATACACAATGGAATTCAATGCCTCCACCAGAAAGAATGACATTGCCCCATTTGTTAGGAAATGGAAAGACTTGGAAAAAATTCTATTAAGTGAAGTAAGCCAGGCCCAAAGAAACATAGGTCCCATGGTTTCCCTTATTTGTAATAACTAGTACATGTCTGAGACAAGCAGAAATTTTCAGATAAGTTGATGTTAAGCGAAATGAACCCCAAGATATGTATTCAAATGCTTTTTCTTTCTTGCTATTGTTTCTAACATATTTATAATATATTTCATTGTTGCTTTGTATGTCCCTCCTCCACGTCATAACTCCTGCTTTCACTGTATTTGATGTTGGTATAATTTGTGGAGGGGAAGGGAAAAAAGAAATTGTTTAAATAGGGATACATGTAGACCCACTGCAACAATAAGATGTACAAGATGTTATGTCAAAAATGAACTTTACAACTTTGGTGGGGGGG